TTGTTTATTAAATGTTTACTAATATTTATTAGTAATTTTATTAATACTACTTTATTTTTTTTGTTAAATTAAGATTGTTTTGTTTATTAAATGTTTATTGATATCTTTTAGTAGTAATTTTTTTTTTTTTTTTTACAAACCCTTTATGTAAGTTAAATACCTTACCTTCCTTTTCGTTTAAGTGAACTTAAACTCAGATATTGGAACTATACAAATGGTAATCTAACTAACTCATAAATATGAGGGAGGTCTATAAGTTCCAAATACATAGGACCATAGGAGGACCATAGGAGCACATATATGAGTCATAAAAGAATCATCTACACTTAAATAGATCCGAAGTGATTAATAGAAGTGTAACATGTGTAAAACAATTTTAAGGGACCTATAAATACCCTCACACTTTAAAATGGGAAAAAATCTACTTTTAGCCCCTCATCTTGCTAAGTTTGAAGATTTTAGCCCATCACCTTATACTGTAACATTTTGAACCCTTCACCTTACTAGATTTGTAGATTCTACCATCTCACTTTATATTATGACACTTTTAGCCCCTCACCTATTAAAATTGAAGAAAATAGTCCTCACTTTGTAACATTTTGTTAGTTCTGTTAGGTAATTATTAACTCCATTAGCTGACTGTTAGTTAATTGTTAACTGTCAAAAATCTTTTTTTAGCTGACAAAATTAACATAACTAACTTTATAATATTTCGTTAATTCTGTTAATTGGCTATTAGTTGTCTGTCAGTTGATAAAAATCTACTTCTAGCTAATAGAGTTAACAATCAATATAAAATGAAGGCTATTTTCTTCGATTTTAATAAGTGAGGGGTAAAACCTACAAATCTAGTAAGGTTAAGAGCTGAAAGTGTCATAGTATAAGGTAAGAGGCTAAAACCTTTAAACTTGGTAATGTGAGGGGTTAAAAGTAAGTTTTTACCTAAACAATGAAGGACTTTTCTTAAACACTTCTCTCTATTGTACTCCTTCTCTCTCTAAAAAAACCCCTAAATATAAAATATTTTTAATTTGAGTATTTAAGTGTCTACCTTAAAAATAACCCTTGGGTTTGTTTTACAAGTCCCCTTGCCAGTGAACTCATGGTCAACCTAACAACACTAGAGCTTGTGAAGTTGCTCAAACAAGAACCAATGGATTTAA